GAGACTGTGAATTCAAAGTCCCACTTTAACCATGAAAGCCAACTGGGTGACTTTTGAGCCAGTCATTCTCTCTCAGCTATGCTTAGTCCACAGGGTTGTTGTGGGGAAAATAGAAGGATGGTGTGTTGGATATGTTTGCCACCTTGAGTTATTTGTAAAAAATAATGAAGGTTGGGTGCAAATAAACAAATAATAAAATAACCCTATAGCATTGCCAGACTGAAGTAGCTTTCTCCCGTAGATTTCCATCTGTTGCATTTCAGTCACAAAACTCGATACACAAAAAAGTTTGACTTTTCATATTGAATGGTTGAACATATTACGGCAGCCCAGCTCAGCAGCCCAGCAGTATAGCAACAACTCATGGGTCTCTTATTTAAAAAAAAAAAAAAGGTTTAGCCTGTGCTGTTTCTATTTCTTCCAGGAGAATGGAAGAAATAAAGAAAGTAGAATGCAGCACAGAATAGCTTTCTAAATCTTATGGCAAAATTCAGATTTGCTTGACACATAATATTGCTGTGCAGCATTTCATTCAAAGGAGCCCGGGAAGAAAATGATCTCACTAAAGTATATTTCTCTTCGAGAAGCAATGTCAGAACAGTCTTCTATTTTAACCTGGAAATTCAAGAACAGCAGTTTCTTTCTTCTTGTAGAAGGTTGTCATGCTCATTCCATGTACAAGCCATCATAAGTGCAGCTGACTGGTCCACCTTGATACTTCCGTTCAAACTGTTGGGATTTTTAAAACCAAGTCATAACTCCAATCTATGGTCTGTACAGGACTCCCTTGTTCAATTTATCCTCACAATAACTCAACAAGGTAGATTAAACCATGCGGTATTTTCTTAGTGCAAAATAACCAATGGTCTTTTGTGGTTCAGAGTGCTGTTGATGAGCACCCCATAAACCTAAATCTAGCTTCATCTTGATTGTGCAATGCAATTAATATTGCATTTGTATCACATTTCTAATTATAAGAAATCCAAAATACAGAGAAATTGCATATATATATGCAATTCTAATGGAGCATTATCAATTCTAAAGCTGTTATGAAATATTAAAATTTATTGTAGATTTTTTAATGTTCCTGTGGCCTATTCAGCCTGTTAACCTTTGGCATTATGTCCTATTGCTTGTATGCTTTGTCTGGAGCAAAATGAAATCAGTGAAAGTACATAGAGACATAAATTCAGCCCTGCAGAGAATATATTTGCTCTGACCCTGCTCCATAATAACAACACAAATAATGTAAGATTGCCCATCTTTGGGAAAGAAGACATGAAAAAACAGCTTGGAGAGACAAAAATCCCATATTTTAAAAAACTGCCTTTGTTCTGTAGGTCTCCTGGGTCAAAGAACAATAATAACAAAGAATAAGGTGAAATAACGTAATACCCCAATGAAGAGAAAAAAGAACAGCATGTGCAAGGCTTTAGAAATGTTATGGGTTTTGAACAATTCAAAAGCAGCTGAAATAACATATCAGCAAAATGACCTTTTACTCCATGCTGTTGTTAAAGTGATGCAGACCAACAGTAAAGAGTTGTGTTTTATTGTACTGGTCTTTCATAACAATTTTGGTTTTGGATTCATTGTAGTTAATCTGAAACATGCATGTAAAAAAACTAAGAGAGGGACATGAACTTTTGTATGTGCAGATATGTGCGTGTGTAAGCACATACATCTCAATAAACCCGCACACATCCCCGTGATCACGTGATCAAAATTCAGATGCTTGGCAAATGCCTCATATTTATGACGGTTGCAGGATATCAGGTTATGTGATCCTCTCTTGTGACCTTCTGACAAGCAAAGTTAATGGGGAAGCCAGATTGACTTAATCCAGGTTACTAATTTAACAATTGCAATGATTCGCTTAACAAATGTGGCCAGAAAAGTCGTAAAATGGGGCAAAACTTACTAAACAAATTTCTCACTTAGCCCACAATTCTGGGCTCAATTGTGGTCGTACGTCGAGGGCTACCATCATCTTTTTTTTTTTCTCCCCATAGCCTAACTTTTATCTTTACACAATCTGTCATCTTTTCATGCTCTGGATTAGCAAAAAGTCCATGTGGAGTCACCAGAAATATCAAACAAATAGTTTATCTGCGAGTTCACATTGTCATCTATAAGCATGTGGCATATACGTTTCAGTTTCTATATTGTAATTAAGAAATATGTAACAATTTAAAGTTACTGTTTACATATATTTACAGTTTACTCATAGATGTAGGGCTGAGCCCAAGGGAAGGGGGTCAATCATGCCATCAGTCTTGAGTCTCTTCGCGCCCACAAGAGATCTAAGTCCAGCCTACCTTGAATTTCTTCTACTCTTATCTCCTGCTAATTTCCCTTGACCGTTAGTAGTTCAGATTCTTATAGAGAGCATTAGCTTATAATAAACCTACATTCATTTGAACTGCCTGGACTCCTGATTTCCTGCACTTGATATTATACTTATATTGTAGCTCATACATTTGTACTTGGATTGGGCATGAACCATTTTTCTTTCTGCACATGGTATGCCAGATATTAAAGGAAACATTAGACATGAGGCTGGAATCTGTGATGTATTTGCAACTATCAAGAAATTCTGTCAAATTGGGAAAATTAGCAAATTTCATTTTTAGGGAGGACCACTACGGTCAAAATGAATGTATTGCCAAAAATATTATTTCTGTTCCAGGTTATTCCAATAAAATTAGGGAAAACATTCTTTCAAGAATTAAATAAATTGATCACTAAATTTATATGGCAAAGGAAAAAAACCCAGGATTAAATTAAAACTCTTGCAAGACACGAAAGATAAAGGGGGACTGGCGTTACCAGAGTGGGAAATATACTACCAAGCATCAAGCTTAACTTGGCTAAAAGATTGGATGGATTTGAAAAATACTAGAGTCTTAACAATAGAAGGACATGATTTGCAAGCAGGGTGGCATGCATTCCTATGGGACAAAAAACATAAAATACACAGATATTTTCAAAGACACATAGTTAGGAATGCATTGCTACAGACTTGGGAAAAAATAAAACAAAAACATTATACAAGAATTCCAATGTGGTTATCCCCAACAGAAGCTTTGAAATACCCAAATCTATTGGATATAAATAAGATAATTAGATACAAAGAATTAGTAAATGAACAGGGAAATTTGAAAACAAAACAAGAATTGGAACAAGACATTGGCAGAGAGATTGATTGGTGGACATTTACACAATTCAATCTAAATATACAGAGGACAAAAATTATATGAAATTCAAAAAGAGCCGCAAGAATTGGATAAAATTATACATGGAACAGAAATAAAATTAATTAGCAATTTATATAAATACCTATTGAGATATAAAATGGAAGACGAGGTTGTCAAAGACACAATGATTAGATGGGCAAAAATTTTCGGATATAATATAGAATTGGAGAAATGGGAAAAAATATGGGAAATAAATATAAAATTGACTATGTCGGCGGCATTCAAGGAAAACCAGTTGAAAATGTTTTATAGATGGCATCTTCCACCTGCAAAGCTTGCCAAGATGTTCCAGAATAACTCGCCAACATGTTGGAAATGTAAAAAAGTACATGGAACATATTATCATCTATGGTGGACATGCCCAATGCAAAAAAATACTGGTCTACAATAAGAAAATGGATCCAAGAAATAATAGACCAACCTGTAGACTGGAAACCAGAGATCTTTTTGTTGGGTATTTTAAATAGAAAATATAGTAAAGAAATATGGTACTTAATTTTACATATAATAACGGCGGCAAGAATAGCATATGCACAGTGCTGGAAAAATGAGAATATACCATCAGAGGAAGAAGTAATAAGAAAAATCCTGGACTGTGCTGAGATGGACAAATTAACAAAAGAGATAAAAGAAAAGGAAGACACAGAGTATTATATAGTATGGAACAAGGTGTATGTCTGGTTGGAGACTAGAAATAATAGAGGAGAATAAATATGGAAAGGTCAAAAGTGAAAATATGTGTACACATGAAGGAAGAAAAATGTAAATAAGAAATAATGGGGCTATAAGGACAAATATTTAAAGAAGAATAAGGGGGAAATGTAAATATTAGATTACCGTTACGTAATTGCTGTAAAAAAAAGGAGGTATATATTGTGTGTGTATGTGTGTTATGTGTTGCTTTGTTCTGTTTTGTCTTGTTGGTTAAAAATAAAAATTTAATTAAAAAAAAGAAATTCTGTCTATTGCTATCTTTCTGAACAATATTATTTGAAGTACGGGTAGTTCTCGACTTACAACAGTTCATTTAGTGACCATTCAAAATTACAACAGCACTGAAATAAGTGACTTATGACTGTTTTTCACTTATAACCGTTGTAGCATCTCCATGGTCACATGATCAAAATTCAGATGCATGGTCACTGGCTTATATTTATGATGGTTGTGGTGTCCTGGAGTCATGTGATTCACCTTTTGTGACCTTCTGAGAAGCCAAGTCAATGGGGAAGCCAGATTCACTTAACAACCATGTTACTAACTTAACAATTGCAATGATTTACTTAACAACATTGGCAAGAAAAGTCATAAAATGGGGCAAATTCACTTAACAAATGTTTCACTTAGCAAGATAAATTTTGGGCTCAATTGTGGTCGTAAGTCACGGACTATTTGTATACCCCCTTAGTTTTACCATTACATGCCCAAATACCAGTCCCTCTCTGTTCAATGGGGCTGTAGTGCAACTGTGACAAGCTATTCTGTTGTAATCAGGAGGTCTTTTAGAAAAAGAATATGCCAAATATACATTTTTCTAATCAGTTAAATAGGACAAAGAGTAACAATTTTTCCAGTGAGCAGAGGATCATATTTGTAAAACGATGTGATATGGTTTAGGCACCTGAATGTACAAGGATCAAACAATCTGTTTGTTTTTCAAGGTTCTTCTCTTACTCTGTCTCCCAGTGATTGTGTGTGTGTGTGTGTGTGTGTGTGTTTGTGTGTGTGTGTTTGCATGCATGCATGCATAAGACTGAGGAGGGGCATAGGCAATGGTTAGCCCCTCCTGGACTCTTGATAATACAGGCATGCTCTGAACGCCCTCCACCAGGCTAATCCTGAGCTTAGACTGGAATTTCTCCTATAGAGCTGTCTTCCACACACAATCGAAGGTAAGTGGAGCTAGAAAGAACTTAGAAAGTGGGAAATATTGAATGTCAGGATGGGCTTCATTTTGTCTAGGGATTTGGGTCTTTGAAATTGTTGCTTCTTTTATAAGAAAGCAACTTTCTTTCCCGCACTGTATTAGCAGGAGCCTCATATTCATATCTGCACCAGCTTGCTGGTATTTTAAGAAATGCACCAGGTTTCAGCGGGCTGTTTGCAGTTGAGGAATGCAGGAAAGAAAAGACTGCGGGATACAGAAAAGATGTCTAATGTGCAGGATTTTTGTTAAAGGTAGGAACTGGGAAGAGTTGGAGAGGAAGGAGAATTGTGTCAAGAAGACAAGATCAAAAGAACATTATGAAACTTTTGCTTTCTTCACTGGAGTTTCAGAAAGACTTTTGCTATAAAATCAAGCTATGCACGTAAAAAAAAGGATTTAGAGCATTTACATTACGTGAAAGCAAGGAGAAATTTCATGCTGTAGAAGGCAGTGTTTCTATTAATGCGAACTATTCTCTTTAAGAAAAACAAGAATGTTTATCTTGGTGAAATATGCAGAGACTTACTAGCTGTGGGTTGAGCTAAAATGCCACTAATATAAATGAGAACACCCAATGAATGTCCTTATGAATCTAAAGCTATCAGTCAACATAGCTGCTGGCTGATTGCATAACAATAGAAAGTATCTGCTTTTGTAAAAGCAACATCCCCATCTGGTGTAGAACTTAACCACATCTGATGGGGGGTTGCAGTTTATTATTTTTAGGGAAAGTAGAATTGTTCTCTGATAAAAATTTGGGGAGGAAGAATGTGCTTGGTCAAGTAGAAGACATTACTTGCAATTAGCTGTTGCTGCTCATCCTTATTGATGGTGCCTGTTGCAGATGGCTCATTGTACTTCTGTCTCCATAGGACCTGAAAGACAGTACGGAGCCCTTGGCCAAGCTTTTCCCACTAATGCTCTTGAATGAGGGGTGCCGGCACCTCCCTTGATTTCAGGAAATGAAGCTGCCCCACACATTCCCCCTGACTCTTCTCTTCCTCAGTTGCCTAGAATGTAACCCTTTCAAGAAGGGTGAGGATAACAGTGAAAAAGGAAAACTTTCTTTCCCTTGGGCTCAGTCTGGCCAGTTCTCCACCCGTGACAAGCATCTGTGCAGTTGGCAACTCATCTCTGGGGAAAGGGATACTGAGCTCCAGATCACCTGTCATCCGGCAGAAGGAGAGGCACAGAGGTGTGTCTACCGGGGCCGACCAGAGTTATGTGCTGCCTATGGTGCCAAAGGCCGTCAGTTCTGGAAGCAGATCCTGGGAAAGCTCCGCCGGAAGCGCCATCCCTGCCAGGACATCAGCCCTCTCAAATCCAGGCTTTGTAGCAGCCAGGAGGAGGCCTCTGAAGCCCACTTACACCTGGTGCAAACCACCCCAAGCACAGACACCCTGGTAGCCACTGCGAGTGTCACTCAGGGAAGTTCCAAGGGGAAAGGCCATGGCAAAAACCTACTAGCATCACAGAGATCACCGCAAGTACCCCAAGACACGACCATCACCAATCCAGCAAAGAATGGTGCTTTGAGGAAGCAAAAGAAAGGGGGAAAGAGGAAAGGAAACCCTAACTCTCCAGCAGCCCCAACCCGTCCACCCCATAGGCAGCCTACGACAGCAGTTGTGGAAGGCAGGGTACAGCCCACAGAGCTCAATGCCGATGTGGTGGACACTTATTGTGAAGAAAAATGGCATTCCTTGTGTACCTTTTTTGTAAATTTCTGGAATGGCTGAACTTTCAGGGTAAGAGGAAGGGAGAATGGAGGTGTACAGCAGAAGACTTAGTGATAAATATGGAAGGGATTGTTTGATATAAGGGCAGAAACAAACAAGGTCGGGTGAAAGGAAAAGGTGGAGTGGCAATGATTAAAGATTTGTAATTTTGTGCAATTTTGGGGCTTTATGTGACACATAATTTACTCATTCCTATTAATCTTGATAATAAAGACACTAAGGGGTTGTGGAAGCTATGTTTGCATAGGATTTGTGCATTAATACACAATACAGATCCTTCCTTTTCCTACACTAGAGGGGATCCATTTGTAGTACACTGCTCTGCTGCTTCAGATAATTTCTTTCTTTACAATGACTGAGATGCTAATCTGTAATTGTAACAAATTATACGGGATTATCGGTCACTTATGGATCTTTATTTTATCTTTTGGAAATGTCTAACAACTGTATAACAAATGCTGATGTAGTTGCTATCGAGTGTTAAAAAAACTATGTTAATGGCAATAATAAATGAAGTTCTATTACACACTTCTGCTATCACAATTTATTGTCTAATTATAATCTTTATGTTTGTGTTGGGATAATATCATCGACACAGAACTTTTTAAATTGATGGTGCTATGCTATTTATTTAATAAACTTGTATACCACAGAGGCAAAATGCCATACAAAGCATTCCCAGATTGTTATCTAAAACTAAACTTTTTTGCTTAGATTCATCAAAATAGTTGTATTCTACACGCTCCGACTAAATAGCTCAAGAGCTGGGTATAATAAGGGAGGTGAATGTATCTATATTGACTTTTCCAGTTTTGGGTGATTGTGAAAATCATCCTAACCATGGCTGAATTAATTTTTAGACCTTTCTGCCCTCATGAATCCAATATTTATCTATCTATCTATCTATCTATCTATCTATCTATCTATCTATCTATCTATCTATCTATCTATCTATCTATCTATCTATCTATCTGTTTACTTATTTGTTTATCAAATGTGCATGCCAGCCTACTCCCAACAACTCTGAGCAACAATATGCACACTTGAGGTAGTTTATCCAATAGCTTTGGTCAGATGCTTGAAGGTTACCAGTCAGTCGTTATGAGATGAGAAAAGAAGCTATTGCTTTCTTGGTTTCACATCACTTGCCTTGTTCTGTATGCATTTTTGTTTCTTTGTTTGTTCTCTGTTTTCTGACAAATTAGTTGTTCCTTATTGCTTTTGAAGTGCAAATACTGAATCAGATGTTCTGGAACCTGGATTTGAAGTCATGATTACAATATCTTCTACGTTCTCTTCTCATTTTCATTTGGGTTTGTACTAAACACTTTCACAGTCTTTCAAGAGTACTCCCGTAAAACAGCAACACACCTTGTAACCAAAGGGTTTAATCTCCTCCACTTATGCCACTTTCCTGCAATCATTACATTGAATCATGTTGCTTTTCAAATACTCAGCCCCATGTTTCAAGAATCTGATCTCATTTGCCTCTGAGAATTATTTTTCAGTGCAAATATTTGTGCATTGATCTATGGATACAAATAATTCAAATTGTATAGAATATTTCAAATTATATAGAAAAGCTGGGTGACTATTGTTTCACCCTACAAGTGAAGAACATACTTCACATGAGGGGTTCCTTATCCTTTTGAGAGGTATGACCCTGGATTTTTCTTATACTCATTAAGGGTTCCCCCCCAATAAGAAACAAAGAAGTAGCAAGGGGGGGGGGAATAAAGGGAAGATTCCAGATGAAAGATTTTGTTTGGAATGGACTCCCACACACATGCACGCATAAAGAGCGTGAAATTCCATGAATGAAGCCAGCCACCAATTGCATTATAAATTAAAAGCCTTGTTAGGCAGTTTCAGAAAGAGTTTGAAAAAAAAATCCCCTAAAGTTTACACTTAGCTCTTTCTGTTTCCCAAAGGAGCACAGTTCACAGAATATCAAAATGCTGAGCAAATAATTTGGTGAAATGAAGCAACCGTCTGTAATGTAGGATTAGGAGGATGTGAAATGGCGACTTCTCTGCTTCTCTAGAGTGGCTGTTTCAGGCTGATCACCGAAGGAAAGCTAATAATAATACAAATATAAAAATCTGAAGCTTTCACAAGGAAACCACAATGATGGTAAAAAGTATCTAACAAAGTAAAGGGCTCCTGGAAGCTGTTGCTAGGTTACCCAGACCTCCACATGAATAGAGAAGGAGCTTTGGAAAGCATGTTTGATGGTTGCAAGCTCCAGAGATAGCTGGTCACATGACACAGTTTAGACAGCAACCTTTGACCCCTTGGTTCTTTTGTTCTGGTGTACAAGGAACTCAATGGAAGCGATTGGTCCAGGCGCCACACTGGGTTGGAGAAATCGAAAAAGGGGCTACGAAACAACTAGTTTGGATGTTGAGAGGCATTACTTCTTCTAAATGAAAGGCATTCAGCAAGCAGAAACTATTTCCTTGGTCTAAAGCCATGGAGTTTTTTTTAAAGTTGTGAGAACCTTTTACATTTCTTCTTGGTCTTCTGTTTAGAAAGATTTTTTTTTAAATTCCTGGATCCTAAGTGGTATTTCATCTTTGCATTTTTCTGTTTGCTTCCCCTTTTCATTTGTTGTTGGGTTTATAGTTTGCTTTTCCTCCAAATATGCATAATGGTACATATAGTTCTTACCCAGTTTTTTCACATCACAAACAACCCTGTGAAGCAGGTCAGCTGAAGGAGAGATTGGCCCAAAGTCCCCAGTGAAATTGAGTCTCCCAGTCTTAAAATAACACCTTAACCCACTAAATCAAATTGTCTGCTTCTGGAAAGTGATGTCTAATTTTATGTTATTTTGAACAGGCTTTCATATAACTAAAAATCAAAAACAGCGGTGGTACATTCAGGACAAGTGTGTCTGAGATTTCTTTCATCTCAGAATGTCTGGCTTAGTTCAATGCAACACTTGTTTTGCAGCTGTCTTTTGCAGTACTCTTTTCAAACTGGGAAACTATCCTATCTGGAAACAAATCACCAGTATACAAGGACAGATTATTTATCTAGGGTCTGTAATCTGCGCTCTTTAGGCAGAAATTAGGTATTCAGTTCAGCCCTCCTACTCTATTGAGCCTCTGCGTTATCAGCCTGCTCTATTACAAAGATCCTGCAGGAGAAGGACAGTGTGGACAATCATGGGATCTGGCAGGGTGAGAGCTGTGAACCATAAATACAAAGCTTTTGTTGTGTCCCTGCATAACAGATAGAGTGCCTTGCTAACCTTAATAAAAACATTAAGGAGACAGGTCAATGTAGCTATGATGATAATTCAAATAAGCAGGGGATCATGGTCCAAGATGAAGAACTTGTTTTTGACAGGTAGAAGTGTGAATCAGGTATTACACATCAGACATGCAAGAGAAAGGCATCCGAAAGAGAAGCCACCTTCTAGTTGGCGATTCAATTATAAGGGATGTAAATTTAGGAAAGGATACAGAGGTTTCAAAGAGGTCAGGTGTCTTCCAGGTGCTACTGCCAGTAGGGACAAGAAGCATATTTTTAAAATAGTCAAGAATGCCAGCAAGGACTGTGATGTGGATGTTATTGTACATCTTGGCACTAACGATCTGTCCCAAAAAGAGGTATTCTCTGTGCAGAATGATTTTCAGAGCTTGAGGCAGGAACTCAGCAGGATAGGTGTAGGCTTACTTTTTCAGAGGTTTTACCAGTATATAAGTAGCAAAATGGAAAAGGCCAGCATATAGCAGAATTCAATATGTGGCTAAAGGAGTGATGTAAAGGGGAAGGCTTTGGTTATATTAGTCACGATGTCTGTAGCTGGTCCAATCAAAAGATGTACAAAAGAGATGGTTTGCCCCATCCAAGAAAGGGACTGAGTTACTTGGCAATAAATTCACAGATTTTCTGGAAGAATATTTAAACTAAACAACGGAGACAGTGAGTTAATTGATACAGAACATCCCTGTTCCCAGCAATCTAAAAATTATAGGGTTATCAGTGCATGTAACATAGATGTGTGTGTGTGGACAAAAATATCAACCTTGCTGTCAAGCAAAATCAAGCTTTTAATAGCGAATGCCACACAAAGTGCACTAACCAAACAGGTGGTAAGAAAAGAGGAGAATTCAGGCACCACACAGGTTATGTAGAAAGTAAACACAGGGTTAGTCATAAAGGACTCAAATGTCTATACACCAATGCACAGAGAATGAACAGTAAACAGGGTGAACTAGAAATTCAGGTAAATGAGAGCAGATATGATATTGTTGCCATTACAGAAACACGGTGGGATGAAACCCACAAATGGAACACACAGCTAGAGGGATTTAAATTATTTAAAAGAAACAGACCAATAAAAGAGGAGGTGGAGTTGCTCTCTACATAAGAAATAACTACATCTCTACAGAAATAGAACACAACAATGATGAAAATTGTCTTGAATGCATTTGGGTCAATATAAAAGGGAGAAAAATGACATTGCCATAGGTGTATATTATAGGCCACCCAACCAAACAGAGGAAATAAATGAACTTTTTGCTAGTCAGCTAACTAAGGTATGTAGGAAGCTCATCACAATAGCAATGGAAGATTTTAATTACCCTGACATCAACTGGGAGACAAACTCTGCACCAAGTGGAAAATCAAACAGATTCCTGAGAAACCTAGCTGACAACTTTGTCTCCCAAAAAGTAGAGAAGGGAACTAGGGGATTAGCCATATTGGATGTAATCCTCACTAACAGAGATGAAATGATAGAAGATGTTGAAGCCACAGGAACCTTGGAGGGAAGTGATCATACATTATTGGAATTCAACATTCTGGAAGCACAAGCAATAGAATCCTCAAGGGGAAAACAACTCAAGAAGCTTGGGAAAGTTTGAAAAGTGAGATAATACGGGCTCAGTCTAGTACAATACCAACAAAGAAGAAAAATAACAAAAGAAACCAGCATGGCTGCATAAAGAACTCTCTAATAAATTGAAAGAAAAAAAGGATAAGTATAAAAAGTGGAAAGAGGGGCACATAACTAAGGCAGAATATCAGCAAATAGCCCATGCCTGCAAAGATGAAGTGAGGAAAGCCAAGGCTCAAAATGAACTAAGGCTTGTGACCAAAGTCAAAAATAACAAAAACAAAACAAAACACCTTCTTTCAACATGTAAAAAACAAGAAAAAAGTGAAGGAAATGATTGGTCCATTAATGGGGGAAAGTGGCAAGAAGGGGACAAGCAACAGGGAGAAAGCAGAACTATTTAACTCGTTTTTTTGCATCTGTCTTTACACAAAGGGAAAAAACAATCCAACCTATCAAAAACAGTTCCATAAAAAACAGATTAGAAACACAAGTTAAGATAAGCAAGAAGATGGTAAGTGAGCACCTGTCCAACCTAGACGAATTCAAATCACCAGGACCAGATGGATTACACCCCAAGATTCTCAAGGAACTGGCAGATGTGATCTCAGAACCACTGAACTATATTTTTCAAAGATTCTGGAGCACTGGGGAACTACCGGAGGACTGGAAAAAAGCT